TCCGTGTTACGTTTGACAGTCTTATTGGGGTTTCTGGGTAAATTATTACCCAGTTGAATGTTCTACCAATACGAAACAAACTTAGTTCGGTACTCGGAGCTCACCAAATTCCGCATGTGTGGAGCTGGCACTTTACAATAATTTCAATTCCAACGCATAAAGTTTGCCATGGATTTCCCCAATCGCCAAACTCCCCTTTTACCTTTATTGCTATTTTTGTACAATAGTAAATCGAGGAGAGGGGGGCTTTTCCCATAATAACCGATACAGTACAACTCAATTTTAAAAAACCATAAACAAAATGGCGTTCACTACATGCGATCAGAAACATTTGAACGCGAGAAGTATGTTCATGAAAAATTCTTTACCCAACTCATGGGGTAGGCTTACGATTTTGTTAGTGATTTTTAAGGGCTGATACGCAATATCAATTGCGACATTTGATATAATTAGTGTCCGAACACCTCTCTGGTCTATTCACGTGCATATTTTTGCATATTTGTTGACCACTTCGCATGAAATATGCAAAATTTATTGTTGACTTGACACAGGTGCATAGTATGTGTGGCGGAAGAGAGGGGGTCCACAAATGTATTAATTTTCAATAATTTTCCTAAAAAATACGCACGTAAACGCCATACGCTGTACCGGGTGGTAAAATTTGGGTAACCTTTAAGTTACAAGAGATAGACAGTCTCGATATCTTTGTTTGAGATAAACTCGATGCCGAAAACTAAATTGGCCCCACTCTCTTTTGTTTTTTAGTTCGGGTAGAAGGTCCATTTTTCGATTTTTAGATAAAAGGCTATAACTCTTTTTTGAGAAGAATTGAATGGCTTTGAAATGTTTTCAAAATAATCATCAATTTTTCATTTTTAGGAAGATATTTGAAATACGTTTCAGAACTTGTAAAACTTTTCGATTTTAATTTTGTCGCATGGGAGAAATGCGTTTTTTTAGAAATTGTAATAACTTTACCTCCATATTATGGTAGAGTAGAGAGAGCGGTAGAGAAAAAAGAGAGATTCCTATTGGAAACCTCAGGTATTTTTAAAAAATGACAAATTATACATCGCAAATTTTGACAAACCAAAGCGTTCAAGCACAACAAAAAAGGTATTATTATTATTATTAAATAAGAAAGTAAAATATTGCAGCGAGAACCTCGGACATCGGGGCGCCAGCAGCCGCCATCAAGTCGGTAAAAGATTAGGCACCGGCGATAATTGATAAGTAGTGATTATGCGCTCGTTTGTTATAAATTTTGTGATAAATATTTAATCAACTGTTATAAATCAATGTGTTATAAATTCATTAATTAATTATATATAAATAAAGCAGATAATTAAATTTACGTTACAATATTCATGGTTTTTAGCTTGTGTCAATGTGAGGCCTGTAGAATCTGGATATGTCAATGACGGGCAAGGAAAAGTTTATTTACAGGGCGTTCTGAGATACAAGGTGTAAATGAAAAATGTGACTTTAGGATGTTACGGTAACTGTGTTATGTTAAATCTTCTCGTGCATGATAAACAAGCCACGTAGAATCCAGCAGAGTAGTCAACAACATTCTTGGACTACCATTTCTGAAATTTGACCCAAAGTTGGTAATTTTGAAATGCAACACCCTGTATATCTTTACGTTAATTTTTGCATTCTTTTTTACTAATTACATTGACGTATATTTTTCATTTCATTTTTCTACCGTTTTATTGATTGGCATCGGCTCCCTTCGGTACCATGGATATATCCATGGCCTACTATTTGAAAACGGTAAAAATAAAATTTCGTGGCTAAAATTTAAAAAAAAATACATAGGTTGTAATACATCAATCTAATTCGGAAAAACCGAAAACAATGCAAAAGAATTTACGTTAAGATATACAGGGTGTTGCAGTTAAAAATACCACTTTTGGATCAAATTTCAGAAACAGTGGGCCAAAATGTTAATTAGGCAGTTTTTTACCTTTTTTCTATCTTACATGGGTAGTTAGACATGTTAACATCCCAGAAAGTCAAACTTTTCATTTTCGCCCTGTATCTCAGAAATAAACGTAGCTAAATTGATTCTGTTTGTGGTATCAAAAGTCTCACAAAAAATGGTACAGCGTGCTGACTGCAGTCTTAACCAAGATAGACCACACAGTACTTATCTCCAATATCGTGATATCCACAATTATAAATAATAAATAATAATAATAGAAAATTAAATAATTAGCACCAGTGGGTGGCAAGCGAATATTGAATGGTACATATAAAACTATATTTGACAAATTTTGAGATCTCATCAAATAAAAGAGGTAGTATTGAAATGGCCCTCTTGTCTCGAACGCACTGTATAGTAGCATCATCTTACAAAAACCGATGAAAAAAATTGTCAAAAAACGTCGCTTTTTCGATGGCATCTTATACATTTGGCCATGGGGATTTCAAAAATACTCTATCTCTCAAATGCACGATCATTGTAATCAGAAAAACGAATTTTATTCAAAAATGTTAAAATTCAATATGGATCCCATAAGCAATAAAAAAGTTATCTACTGTAACTTCAAAGTCTAGAGTGCCTTGAATTTTTTGATAACACATTTGGATTCCTCATAAAAAAGAGCTTTAATAAATATCCACTTTTTGTCGTTTTCGAAATAAAAGAGAAAATCGAAAATTAAAAATTTCTGAAGACATCCGAATTTTTCTGTTGGACCTCGAAAAACGAGCACCCTGTATAGTTGCTTCATCTTACAAAACAAAAAAAATTTTCAAAAAACTGTTCATTCTCATTTGGTCATGGTGATTTCAAAAATTATCCTATCTCCCTATGAAAAATGCACGGTTTTGGCTGTACGAGTCTGAGCGAGGCGAGGCGGCGCCGGAAATTATCAATAAAACAATAAATGTTATCAGAACTAAAAAATTTCACCGACATTGTTAACATTTGTACAGAATGTAGCGAATATTCGAGAAATACCGATAGACATCGAGGGCGGATGCGACGCAATCTTTCCGGGAAATATCGCGTTTGTTCGAAATCATTCTAGAATACTCGGGAGCGTTTGAGCACTTTCAACAGAGAGGGACGTTTGCTATATAACCAAATCGAATTGCGTTTCGGGGTAGTTCCAATTTCAACGCCGAAGTAATAAACAGTTCGGGCTATGTAAGTGATAAATCAATGCATTTCAAGACTGTAGATGCAAATACAAAACGCCCCATATTCAGCGGTATTTAGCCGAAATAAGCTCGCTCTAGTGGAGTCTTAAAAGTGCACGATTGGTCTATTTTGAGCCGAATCAAATTTCTTTACACTTTTTTTTAGCCTCGACGACACTTAAAACAACCCCAACCACTTTCACAACTATCGAGTTAATTAATCAAGAATTGCCCAACGGCGAATGCTAACAAAACATGGCGATAAGGACCTATCTAGTTATTATTTATAGTTATTATCAATATCCACATATTTCGAAAACCATTTGAGACTTAATCATTAATGAAAGTTAATGCTTAAGGGATAACACAAAATATATAGGGTGTTCCATTAAAAAAATGAGATATACGAATATGAAATGATGACGGTTTCCATAGAATTTAATGTAGAATTAGGAACCAATTGCAGGGTGTCCCATTAAAAAATATGTAACTTTTTTACGATGCCCTAGCTTTACAAAAATCAAGATTTTAGATAAAGCGATTGTCTCGCTTTGGCCGAATGAGCAGCAAATGCGGCCCCATTTGTAGAAAGACGAGGAATGTACACGTGCCAGCGACATCGGGGCGCCATCCCCGAGCGCGTTATACTGACGTGGTGATTTTTTTCTTCGACATTTCCGATTGTTTTCAAATTGGTGTCGTGGCAAAGATCATGGGTGATGGGGTGATGCGGCTGATCTGTCACACAAAAATGCGAAGTCTTACACATTGTGTTAACCTCTTTATAAAATTAGCAGGGCAAAATGGTCGTTACCAAAACGCATGCGGCTTATCATAAACTATAGAGGAACGAATTGGGGCCAATGGATTCACTTTCTCTACAAATGTGAAAAGTGCATTCCTAGATATTGGGTTTATCTGCGAACTATCGCACATTCTTCAACAGCAGGAATGCACGTTTGCCATTACGTGATAGGGGCAACAACGCACATTCTCAACTCGAAAATTACATTCAATAAACAACAAATTCGTAGAACTTAAAGAATCCCACGATTTCGAAAGTGCTATGCGGAAATTTGTTATCTTTTAATTAAATCATTCCAAATTTCACTATTTCCGAATCGGTAATTAAGTGAATTACGTTTTTTTTGTCGGGACCAGGAAATTAATCTCTCGCGGCTATGGGAATATTGTATAATGACGACACGCGAGCTACGTTTCGAAAATCACGCCGTTTTGAAAAATTGGGGCGGCGGGGGGGTCAAGAAGAAGAAAACGGCGAGTGATTGACCTCAAATATTTATTGATTTCACATCTGTTAATGAACTGTCGTCACAGCTATTTATACATATATAGGCTGTTCGTGATTTTTATATACACAAACAGCGGCAGAAGTACGTTAAATTAGTCCAGTTCTAAAATTAGAATCATTTCAATTAACAATTATTTCAACAAGTCGGTTGCCAAGTGGGTTTTTGCGAAAAGTGGCCGTTCGAGGAATTGGTCAAATTTTCGGAAGTAAATCGGCTTGGCACGAGGCGCTCACTTTTCACCCGTGAGTCACGCGTCCAGATTTTGGATTTATAAATAAAAGTTTTAATGGTCGCGCCACTTGAACTTTATTTTGTTATCTTTCGTTTATAAATAACTTTTAATAACCGATCGAGTGTAATAATTTGTGCAACACCTACGGAGAGATGGATGCGGTAGGTCGCTTTTAGGTCTTTTTCTCTGACGCGCGAGCCGGTCATTTGGAGCCGTGACCGATGATGTCCTTGATCATGTTGTTGTCCTTTTCGATGGGATATTTTTATTCGAAATGCAACCAGTAATGGGTGGTTTTTTTTCAGGACCCGTAACTGTTCCTATGGTATCGACGAATTCATCACCGCCCATAGCAATGCCAGTTCAGGTACCACCGGGACATGTAGTTCAACAAATTGTCGACGAAAGCGGTACGCTGAGGCACGTCATACTTTCCCCACAACATCCAGCAGGACTCGTACCGCTTCCCTCGCATAATCCACAGCACTACGTAAGTAAAGATCACGTCTGGGTGGTCCAGAACTATACAAAATTGCTCGTTTCGCACCTCGAAATGTGGGGTCAGGCAACGGAAATGGCTGACTAGTAAGACAGTTTCCTTTTCACTATGCGCTCGCTAAAAACATTTCATAACTTGAAAACCCGAGGGGTGTTTTACGAAGAAGTAAAAGATGACACCTGCAATTCTCACTTTCTACTCTGAATTTCGAGATCAAAACCAAAATTCTGATATTGAACTCGAAATTTTGGCTTTCAATTCTGAATTGAGCTTGAGAATTCTAAACCAAGCCGAAATTCTGAACTTAAACTCGGCAACATAACCATTTTCTTGCTCCTTTACCAAAATTTTTGGAAATTTCTTAATCCTAGGAGTTAATTTTATAATTTAAAAAAAGTAGACACAATTATACAGGGTGTTATTATTAAAAAATGATCAAACATTAACCCGATGGGGGTTTGACGAAGAAATAGAATATGACACCTGGAATTCTCACTGTCTACTCTGAATTCCGACAAAGCCAAAATTCTAATATTGAACTCGGAGTTTTGGCTTTGAATTCTGAATTGAGCTTGAGAATTCTAAAATCAGAATCTAAATTGCGAGTTTAAGGCCGAAATTCTGAGCTTAAACCCAGAATCACAACCATTTTCTTGTTCTTCACCAAAATTTTTGGAATTTTCTTAGTCCTATGAGTTAATTATATAATTTAAAAAAAGTAGACACAATTATACAGGGTGTTATTATTAAAAAATGAACAAACACTAACCCGATGGGGGTTTGACGAAGAAACAGAATATGACACCTGGAATTCTCACTGTCTACTCTGAATTTCGAGATCAAAGCCAAAATTCTGATATTGAACTCGGAATTTTGGTTTTGAATTCTGAATTGAGCTTGAGAATTCTAAAATCAGAATCTAAATTGCAAGTTAAAATATGATATTCTGAGCTTAACCTCGGAAACACAACCATTTTCGTACTCCTTTACCAAAATTTTTGGAATTTTCTTAATCCTAGGAGTTAATTTTGGAATTTTAAGTAGACACAATTATACAGGGTGTTATTATCAAAAAATGATCAAACGCTAACCCGATGGGAGTTTTACGAAGAAACAGAATATGACACCTGGAATTCTCACTGTCTACTCTGAATTCCGAGATCAAAACCAAAATTCTGATATTGAACTCGGGGGGAGTTAGCTTTGAATTCTGAATTGAGGTTGAGAATTCTAAAATCGGAATCTAAATTGCGAGTTTAAGGCCGAAATTCTGAGCTTAAACCCAGAATCACAACCATGTTCTTGCTCCTTCACCAAAATTTTTGGAATTTTTTAAATCCTAGGAGTTAATTTTATAATTTAGAAAAAGTAGACACAATTATACAGGGTGTTATTATTAAAAAATGAACAAACACTAAACCGATGGGGGTTTTACGAAGAAACAGAATATGACAACTGGAATTCTCACTGTCTACTCTGAATTCCGACATCAAAGTCAAAATTCTGATATTGAACTCGGAATTTTGGCTTTGAATTCTGAATTGAACTTGAGAATTCTAAAATTATAATCTAAATTGCGAGTTCAAAACCGAAATTCTGAGCTTAAACCCAGAATCACAACCATTTTCTTGTTCTTTACCAACATTTTTGAAATTTTCTTAGTCCTATGAGTTAATTATATAATTTAAAAAAAGTAGACACAATTATACAGGGTGTTATTATTAAAAAATGAACGAACACTAACGCGATGGGTGTTTTACGAAGAAACAGAATATGACACCTGCAATTCTCACTGTCTACTCGGAATTTTGGCTTTGAATTCTGACTTAAGGTTGAGAATTCTAAAATCAGAATCTAAATTGCGAGTTCCAAGTCGAAATTCTGAGCTTCGACTCCGAAACAACCATTTTCTTGCTCCTTCACCAAAATTTTTGAAATTTTCTTAATCCTAGGAGTTAATTTTGTAATTTTAAAAAAGTAGACACAATTATACAGGGTGTTATAAATTAAAAAATGAACAAAGAGTAACCCGATGGGTGTTTTACGAAGAAACAGGGTATGACACCAGAATTCACTCTGAATTCAGACATCAAACCAAAATTCTGATATTGAACTCGGAATTTTGGCTTTGAATTCTGACTTAAGGTTGAGAATTCTAAAATCAGAATCTAAATTGCGAGTTCCAAGTCGAAATTCTGAGCTTCGACTCCGAAACAACCATTTTCTTGCTCCTTCACCAAAATTTTTGAAATTTTCTTAATCCTAGGAGTTAATTTTGTAATTTTAAAAAAGTAGACACAATTATACAGGGTGTTATAAATTAAAAAATGAACAAAGAGTAACCCGATGGGTGTTTTACGAAGAAACAGGGTATGACACCTGGAATTCACTCTGAATTCAGACATCAAACCCAAAATTCTGATATTGAACTCCGAATTTTGGTTTCGAATTCTTAATTGACGTTGAGAATTCTAAAATCAGAATCTAAATTGCGAGTTCCAAGCCGAAATTCTGAGCTTAAACTCAGAAACACAACCATTTTCTTGTTCTTCACCAAAATTTTAGAACGTTCTTAATCCTATGAGTTAATTTTATAATTTAAAAAAAGTACACACCATTATACAGGGTGTTATTATTAATAAATGAACTCTGAATTGAGCTTGAGAATTCTAAAATCAAAATCACAACCACTTTTTACTCCTTCACCAACATTTTTGGAATTTTCTTAATCCTAGGAGTTGATTTTATAATTTAAAAAAGTAGACACAATTATACAGGGTGTTATTATTAAAAAATAGACAAACACTAACCCGATGGAGGTTTTACCTGTCTACTCTGAATTCCGACATCAAAGCCAAAATTCTGATATTGAATTCGGAATTTTGACTTTGAATTCTGACTTGAGGTTGAGAATTCTAAAATCGGAATCTAAATTGCGAGTTCCAAGTCGAAATTCTGAGCTTCGACTCCGAAACAACCATTTTCTTGCTCCTTCACCAAAATTTTTGGAATTTTCTTAATCCTAGGAGCTAATTTTGTAATTTAAGAAAAGTAGATACAATTATGCAGGGTGTTATTATTAAAAAATAGACAAACACTAACCCGATGGGGGTTTTACGAAGAAACAGAATATGACACCTGGAATTTTCACTGCCTACTCAGAATCCCGACATCAAAGTCAAAATTCTGATATTGAACTCGGAATTTTGGCTTTGAATTCTGAATTGAGCTTGAGAATTCTAAAATCGGAATCTAAATTGCGAGTTCAAGACCGAAATTCTGAGCTTAAGCTCGGAAACAACGATTTTCTTGCTCTTTTACCAAAATTTTTGAAATTTTTTTAATCCTAGGAGTTAATTTTATAATTTAGAAAAAGTAGACACAATTATACAGGGTGTTATTATTCAAAAATGAACAAACACTAACCCGATGGGGGTTTTACGAAGAAACAGAATGACACCTAGAATTCTCACTGTCTACTCCGAATTCCGACATCAAAGCTAAAATTTCGATATTGAACTCGAGAGTTTGGCTTTGAATTTTGAATTAAGCTTGAGAATTCTAAAATCAGAATCTAAATTGCGAGTTCAAAGCCGAAATTCTGAGCTTAACCTCGGAATCACAACCATTTTCTTCTCGTTCACCAAAATTTTTGGAATTTTCTTAATCCTAGGAGTTAATTTTTTAATTTTGAAAAAATAGACACAATTATACCGGGTGTTATTATTAAAAAATAGACAAACACTACGGGGCGTTTTACGAAGAAACAGAATATGGACCTGGAATTCTCACTGCCTACCCTGAATTTCGACATCAAAGCCAAAATGCTGATATTGAATTCGGAATTTTGGCTTTGAATTCTGAATTGAGGTTGAGAATTCTGAAATCAAGTTCAAAGCCGAAATTCTGAACAAGTCCCGTTATAAATAAAAGCAGACCCGACAAACGTATCGCCTATCCCGGAAAACCTCATATGGGTACATTGACATTGGGCAACATTTACATATAATGCCATTATAGTGTGCACATTTTAAAGCCCTTGTGGTTTTGTGAGTTAAGCGATGCCGTTTCCGGACATAGTGCTGATATGTTGCAAAATCACACTGTGCACATTTTAAATAATGGAAAGTATTGTGAGTTATATTTTCTTTGATATGTATGGTTAATATATACTTTACTTTGTACTAGTACCAGCACGAAAGAAGGCTAAAGTGGACTATGCCTAATTTATAGTCTGCAGGAGCAACCAAAGGACTCCGTGGCGCACTAATAGTGCAATTAATAGAATATAAATACTTAGTGAGGATGCGGGATCTTTCTCCTTCTTACGGACCGGGTACAGTAGTTTATTGTATAATTACACTGTGCACATTTTAAATCCTTTGAAGATTTGTTGCAAAATTGCAATGTGCACACTGTAAATATTGCGCATTTTTAAGCGGCACACTTTAAATATTTGGAAGTATGTTAACAGACGCACACTGTGCACATTTTAAATCATTTGAAAACGCATTTCTTTTCTTGAAATATGATAGGCCTTCTAGGCTTTTCGAGAATTTTCGTGATTTTTTGTAGAAACTTTCTGTCTACGTACGCAAAAGGTTTCACATTCTAACGTGACAGTATTTGCATTGACCCTAAGTATCTCCCAAAAAATTGACAATCGCTTACCCCCCCCGTTTGGCAGGGTGAAATCTATCCGGAAGCATAAAAAAATTCATCAAAACGCAGCAACAGACAGACCGACATAATTGATATTTTGTTTGATTCGGATTTCTGATGCTTCAAACCGTAAAAATGGGGTGTGGGGTCAATTTTTTGCTTGTTTAAGGTGCTGAAAAATTGCGCCACTAGTAATTCGTTTGTTTTCGGTATTCTGACTGCTAACTTCACAACGTATTCCATTGGTGGGTGGGGGTATAGCTGAAGAAGCTCAAAAGAAATCAAAGAAACCCAGGAAGAATTTTAAAAAAAGCAACGAATTCAAAAGA